AGTTGATCGGGGAAAAGTTTATGGATTGCTTAAACAGAGAGCAATGACTCAAAAACACAACTCGATAAGCAAAATGCAACAACTCGATAAGCAAAACTCAACAATAACAAAGTGTATTTCTGACGATCCGGGCATCGGAACGCATCCGAAACAAAGGCCTTTGACTTTCCCGTTGCATGGAAATGCTCGGAACTTTCCCTCGAAGGGTAAAACAGGGCCAAGAAGATACATTGCAGCATTGCCAGCCATCCCTGGGAGCTGGCCGGCCATTTTTGCAAAAAGTGAATGACTGGCCAGCCATTTCTGCAGAAAGTAAATAGCTGACCAGCCAGAAAAAGTAGCTGGCCGGCCATTCAGTCCTGCAGCCACCAGATTTTTGACACGTGTTCCCGTGAATAGTGTTTTTCCTTCTATAAAAGCCTCAACTTCGGGAACATTCATTTCATCTTAGTTTTAGACAAAGATGGAGGCGTTTCTCGCGGAAAATCTCACATCTTGGATCTCTTCTCTAGATGGCTCGGAAAAGCTGAATTTCCGGGGTTTCGGCTTGAATGCACTATTCACGCTGAGCCGTACTCCGCTACAGCTCCCTTTTCTCTATGCCGCGGCAAGGTTCTGGAATCCAGTAACGCACGTTTTTAGCTTTGGCGGCTAAGAGATGTGTCCCACTTTCGAGGATTTTCAGGTTTTGATGGAGTCTGAATGCTCTGAAGTAATCTTGCCGCAGCTCCGTTTTGGTCACGCTCAGGCTTTAGGGCGGATGTGTGGGCTCACAGCGCATGACGCTCGATCTCTGATCTGCAGTGGAGAGCTAGACATCCTCGGCTTGATCTAACGTTTTTCCGACGCTGGTGACCGCAGCAACCATTATTGGCAGGGTTTTCGGCAACACGCCCTCTGCTTATGTTTGTTGTCTCACTTTTTGCTTTCCTCGGGCTTCAGCGGGGCTAGCATCCGCCTGATTGAGGTCACCCAAGGTTTAAGAGAAGGAAAGAGCTGTATTGCCATGACCTTGGCCGAGACTTTGATGGGCTTAGATTCTGTTTATCGTCGGGAGGCGACTAGGTTTGCTGGGAGTCCACTACTGCTGCAGGTAATGTTTCCCACCCAACCTTACATATATATTTGCTCACATCGCTCGACCCTTAGGCTCGGTTTTTCTCACAAAACCCTTGTCTTACTTTTCTCTCATCGTACATCTCTCTGTTCTTTATTCTCTCATTTTCCATCCCTCCCCTAGGTATGGTTAATGGACAAGTTGCAGGTTCTGGACTCTTGCCCGGCCTATTCAGCTCGAGGCTACTTCTTTCGGCAGCGTCTAGTCAATGCTCTTGACGAAAGGTGGTGGTTCGATTGGATGTGCAATTTGTCCGCGGACAGCATTGCTTGGCGTTGTCCTTGGCTCGACCTCCCGGCGATGAGCTATAGTATGTCCCGGCTGACAGGGATCCAATTGATCGGTCTGACCCACTGCGTATTCTATTTTCCTTTCCGGTTTCTGCGTCAATTTGGTCATGATCAGACCTGTCCACCGGAGGGGATTGAGTATCCAGCCGCTTTCCCGGTCCGGGGTGCACAGCTTGCCCGATATGCCACGGCATGGAGGACTAGAGAGCTCCTGGCCCCTGCTCCAATTTCTTTGTCAGATGAATGCGTGGATTGGCTCAAAGAGGAGGTACAAGTTGGGCCCAGCTTGGCATCAGATGCTCCGTCCATCTCTGAAGGGGACACAGAGATACTTGATTCAACTATGCCTCAAATTTATTGCTTACTTAGCATTTTCAAGTTTTCTTTATGAATGTAATAAAAAAGCAACCTCGATTGTGTGCAAGAGCAGGAGAACTCTATTTTGAAATCAATGAAATTGAAAGTTATGGTACTGAAAATTTTCCATTTTTGGTCCAAAAATGGTCTTAATTGTAAAAAAAATTGATTCGAACAAAGTCAACTTTTATTAAAACTTTTCAAAACTATTTTCGATGTGGATCAGAATTGGACACGCCGAAAATCTGTCGCTGAGATGCACAACCCCAGATCCTCGCAACTGGAAAGTTGCCCCTAGTCTGAAGAACAATGCGGCACTGCACAGCAACGGAAAGTTGCCCCTAGTCTGAGTAACTTTGCATCGTCGCGGCAACGGAAAGTTGCCCCTAGTTTGAATAGCACTGTACCGGAGATCACGATAAATGCTGATGGATAAAGATGACTGAGATGATCAAGATGGACGGAGTCGATCGGGGAAAAGTTATGGCTGAACTTCAAGGTGAAGTTGCCTACGTATCCCTAAGATGGGAATCAAGCCTTACGTAGTTCAGGCTAAGGTTCGCTCGAGTATTTTCACTCTCCTTTTGCGCTCTAACTTTTGCCAAGGCCGCCCTTTGTGGGTTTTCAACCTTGCGAGCTCAGTTTTTATATTTTCTAATTTTTTGTGCTCTGACTTTTGCCTAGGTCGCCCTTTCGGGTTTTCGGCCTAGCGAGCCTCTCAAGGATAGTATTTCTTCAACTTGTCCATATTGATCGGTTGTGAGAACTCCAAGCCATCTAGATCCATCAGAACCACAGCCCCACCTGACCAGATAACTTTGATGATGTAAGGACCAGTCCAATTAGGTTTGAACTTGCCCCTTGGGTCGTGGATGGGAGCTCGGTTGTCTTTGAGCACCAAATCTCCTTCTTTCAGATTCCTGGACTTAACCTTTTTGTCGAAAGCCCGGGCAATTCTTCGTTGATAGCCTTGGATGTGGTGCAGTGCTTTCAGTCTTCTTTCATCAAAGAGCATAAGTTCTTCGAACCTGCTTTGCTGCCAATCTGCTTCGGCTATCTGGCATTCAGCCAATACTCGTAACGACGGAACCTCAATCTCAATCTGGGGAATTGACTTTTCTGTCC